TCCCATACTGCAGAAATTATTCCAAAAGATTGAGGAGGAAGGAATCTTCCCCCAACATGTTCTATGAAGCAAATACCACCCTGATACCAAAACCAGGAAAAGACTCAACTGAAAAGGAGAATTTCAGACCAATTTCACTAATGACTATAGATGCAAAAATTCTCAATAAAATCTTAGCTATTACAGTTTATCATCGAAAAAGTCATACATCAGGATCAAGTAGGTTTCATCTCAAGAATACAAGGCTGGTTTAATATATGCAAGTCTATAAATGTTATTCATCATATCAATAGAAGTAAAACCAAAGACTACATGATCCTATCAATAGATGCAGAAAAAGCATTCAATAAAATCCAGCATCCTTCTTTAATTAGAACACTGAGGAGTATAGGCATAGGTGGTATATTTTTTAAACTGAATGAAGTTATCTATGACAAACCCACAGCTAGTATTTTACTGAACGGAATAAAACTGAAAGCTTTTCCTCTTAGAACTGGAACTAGACAAGGTTGTCCTCTGTCACCATTACTATTCAACATTGCGCTGGAAGTTTTAGCCAATACAATTAGACAAGACAAGAAAATAAAGGGCATCCAAATGGGAGCAGAGAGGTTAAACTCTCCCTTTTTGCTGATGATATGATCTCATACCTGGAGAACCCCAAAGACTCAACCACAAGACTCTAGGAAGTCATCAAAAAATACAGTAATGTCTCAGGATATAAAATCAATGTCCACAAGTCAGTTGCTTTTGTATACGCCAATAGCCAAGATGAGAGGTTAATCAAGGACACAATTCCCTTCACCATAGCCCCAGAGAAAATGAAATACTTAGGAATATACCTAACAAAAGAGGGGAAGGACCTCTATAAAGAAAATTATGAAACCCTTAGAAAGGAAATAGCAGAGGACATCAACAAATGTAAGAATATACCATGTTCATGGCTGGGAAGAATCAACATTGTTAAAATGTCTATATTTCCCAGAGTAATTTACTGATTCAATGCCATCCCTATTAAAATACCAACATCCTACTTTCAAGACTTGGAAAAAATTATTCTGCATTTTGTATAGAACCAGAAAAACCCCCGTATAACTAAGGCAGTTCTTAGTAACAAAAACAAAGCTGGGGGTATTACTATACCAGATTTTATCCTATACTATAAGGCCATAGTGGTCAAGACAACATGGTACTGGTACAAAAATAGAGACATAGATATTTGGAATCAAATAGAAAACCTGGAAATGAAACCAACAACATACAGCCACCTAATCTTCGATAAACCAAACAAGAACATCCACTAGGGGAAAGACTCCCCATTTAATAAATGGTGCTGGGAGAACTGGATATCCACATGTAAAAGATTGAAACTGGACCCGCCCCTTTCTCCACTTATAAAAATTGATTCAAGATGGATAAAGGACTTAAAATTTAAGGCATGAAACAATAAAAATTCTCAAAGAAAGAACAGGAAAAACACTGGATGATATTGACCTGGGGAAAGACTTTGAGGAAGACTGCTATGGCAATAATGCTTTTGTTTTTCAGGGTTTTCCATATCATGAAGCTAAGTTACCTTGCTCTTTCTTCTAAGATAAGCAAAAAAGATATGCATACAAATAAAAGAGGTACTAAAGGCATTTTCCATGTTGGATTTTGTCCTGTTTACTAGTATACAAAAGGTGACAGGAGAGCATAGGGACAAGTATACAATGACATGCAAAAAAAATTAAATAATCCAAAACTATGTAAAGTGAGCACCTATAGCTATCCTTCAAATAATAATCTTACACAAAAAGAAGGCCCCTGGACCTTTCCAATTGTATTCTAATTCATCAAATATACTGCAAGTTTTGTAATCTATGATTTTTCCAATACTGTCCGCCCAAGGCAATCATACAAAATGAGAAATTAATTCTATTTATCTGCATCAACCCCCACTGTCTTCTTCCTTCTTTACCTTCCAGCTCCTGTTATGGAGACGGGTTGGTCTATCAGATATTTGAATTTATTCCTCCTAATAGGGTGATGCCAGACAGGGTCTACAGAGCGTGGAAGAACATTCTGGAAAAAAGCAAAAACAGATGACTATCCAGCAGAGGGTGCTCTAATCAATAAAATCTATCCTTTATTTCTAAGTACAATAATTATATTAAGGGCCTTTGGATACTCTAAGGAAAAAAGGGCAGAATTTTTGTTCAATTACAGAGAAAGACTAGAACTAGACCAAATCTATAGTAAATGAAAAATATTAAGACTAACAGAATAGTAATGATCATTTTAAAAGAAAGTTTAAACAGAAATACTTAAGAGCTTGAGGAGGTGCCTGTGGCTCAGTGAGTAGGGCGCCGGCCCATATACAGAGGGTGGCAGGTTCGAACCTGGCCTTGGCCAAACTGCAATAAAAAAACAGCTGGGCATTGTGGTGGGGGCCTATAGTCCCAGCTACTTCGGAGGCTGGGGCAAGAGAATCGCCTAAGCCCAAGAGCTGGAGGTTGCTGTGAGCTGTGCTGCCATAGCACGCTCCTGAGGGCGATAAAGTGAGACTATCTCTAAAAAAAAAAAAAGAAAAGAAAAGAAATACTCAAGAGCCTTGGAAACATTCATTCAAAAGATTTTTCAATCTAGGAAATTACTTTAACAAACATCTAAAAATGATCTGGAACATATAACATATGATCAATAAATACTTAACAAACCAGATACCAAAAGATGTTCCCAAGTACTCTCCCATGTATATACACATACCTGTGGGGTTTTAATTTTCTTAGGAGGCAGTAAGTTTTCAGGACAAGGACCAGCATTGGCTGCAGAGGTCAAAGAAAGAAGAACTTCCTCAGGAATGAACTCATTCTGAACGGAAGTAGGAAAGGGTTTTGGACGATCCACCATATTTTTTTTCTCTCTTAGTTCAGGAAGTCCTAAGAAAGTAATGGAAAAAAAACTTATTACAGATTTTTGGAGGTAGAGGGAGCTTCCCAGACTGCTTCCTCAATTCCATCTATGTTTCTTACAGAAACAAACATTGCTTCTCGTTGACAAGAGTAACAATACTTAAAACGCTAAACATCATATAGTCAAGAGAACATTAAAGCTCATCTAGTCTTTCTCTATTAGTGAATATTGTCCACCCCACCCTACTCACTTTACATTGCACACAGTTTAAAAACTCAGGTACAGAGATGATCCTGCATTATTCCCCCCACTCAAAGTTCAAAATCAACTCACTCTACTTGCTCAG